TCAAAAAAAATTCCTACGCACACGGAAGATCATGGTGATGCATAGCAACGAGAGGGGAGAGTAATGTCCACATACCCTCGTAGACCGTAAGCGGAAGCGTTATGACAACGCGGTTGATGTAGTCGTACGTCTTCACGATCCGACCGATCCAAGTACCGAACGTACGGCACCTCCGAGTTCAGCACACGTTCAGCTCGATGACGATCCCCGGACTCCGATCCAGCAAAGTGTCGGGGATGAGTTCCGTCAGCACGACGGCGTGGTGACGATGATGATGTTCTACCGGCGCAGGGCTTCGCCTAAACTCCGCAACGATATGACCGAGGTGGAATATGGTGGAGGGGGGCACCGCACATGGCTAAGGAACGATCACGTAGATCAACTTGTGTGTTCTAGGGTGCCCCCCTACCCCCGTATGTAAAGGAGGGAGGGGGAGGTGCGGCCGGCCCCCAAGGGGTGCGCCTAGAGGAGTCCTACTCCCACCGGGAGTAGGACTCCCCCCTCTTGCCTTGGTGGGGAAGGAAAGGGGGGAGGGGAAAGAGGAAAGGGGGGCGCCGCCCCCCCTTCCTTGTCCTATTCGGACTAGGGGGGGAGGGGGCGCGCGGCCTGCCCTGGCCGGCCCTCCTCTTCTCCCTCATGGGGGGGGGGGTCCGGTACCCCCCCGGTACTCCGGAAAAATCCCGGTTTCTCCCGGAACGATTCCGATATCCAAATATAGGATTCCAGTATATCAATCTTTATGTCTCGACCATTTAGAGACTCCTCGTCATGTCCTGGATCACATTCGGGACTCCGAACAACCTTCGGTACATCAAAATATATAAACTCATAATAAAACTTTCATCGTAACGTTAAGCGTGCGGACCTTACGGGTGCGAGAACTATGTAGACATGACCTAGAACTATTCTCGGTCAATAACCAATAGCGGAACCTGGATGCTCATATTGGCTCCTACATATTCTACGAAGATCTTTATCGGTCAAACCGCATAACAACATACGTTGTTCCCTTTGTCATCGGTATGTTACTTGCCCGAGATTCGATCGTCGGTATCTAATACCTAGTTCAATCTCGTTACCGGCAAGTCTCTTTACTCGTTACGTATTGCATCATTCCGTAACTAACTCATTAGCTACATTGCTTGCAAGGCTTATAGTGATGTGCATTACCGAGAGGGCCCAGAGATACCTCTCCGACAATCGGAGTGACAAAACCTAATTTCGAAATACGCCAACCCAACATGTACCTTTGGAGACACCTGTATTACTCCTTTATAATCACCCAGTTACGTTGTGACGTTTGGTAGCACCCAAAGTGTTCCTCCGGTAAAGGGGAGTTGCATAATCTCATAGTTACAGGAACATGTATAAGTCATGAAGAAAGCAATAGCAATATACTAAACGATCAAGTGCTAGGCTAACGGAATGGGTCATGTCAATCACATCATTCTCCTAATGATGTGATCCCGTTAATCAAAGGACAACACATGTCTATGGTTAGGAAACATAACCATCTTTGATTAACGAGCTAATCAAGTAGAGGCATACTAGTGATGTTATGTTGGTCTATGTATTCACACATGTATTATGTTTCCGGTTAATACAATTCTAGCATGAATAATAAACATTTATCATGATATGAGGAAATAAATAATAACTTTATTATTGCCTCTAGGGCATATTTCCTTCAGCCAGAACAAGAACACGTCGCGAGTGAGGCCTCCGATTTTTTTATTAATAGTAATTAATAATCACGGAATTATGAAACAAGGAAAGGATAATTCCTAATTTGAGAAATAGGAAGGACGCTAGGCATTACAACGTCCACATATGGACGCTAGTATAAACGAGTCCAGATTGGGACGCTAGCATCGATCACGGCCACCATTAGGTTGGCCCCATCCGCAATCCAGCAGGTTTGGCCCATTATCGCCTCGGCCGCCGCCGCCGCCCTCCACCTCTTGTCCCCGCGACCACGTATCCACGGTCGCCGCCCTCCACCTCTCATCCCCGCGACCACCTATCCACGACCGCCTCTGCCCTCCACCTCATCTCTCGCCAAAGTCCTCACGGCTGCCTCCCTGTAATCCCCTCGTCCACCTCCTCACTGTCGAAGTAGGTTGCGCCACCACGGCGAGATTGGCGTAGTTGACGGCCCTTCTCTCTTCTCTCGACCGCGGTCACCACATCTGTTCCGTTCCTCGTCCGTGCATTCCATATGAAATAACATGCATATGTCCTGCCTTGTCGGCCCTTTTAACCAATAGCTTGTCCACCCATTTGGACCATCGGTTGCCTCCATCAACCAAATTGAGAGCAGTTTGCCTTCTTTCTACAAACCACTCTAAGCACTTTGAAAATGTCTCCTCCACAATTGCTGCCACCGGTAGCCTTCGGGAAAGCCTGAACACATTATTTAAGGACTCGGACCCATTGCTTGTCATGATCCCCCACTGGTAACCCCCATCCTTGCATTGAAATACTTTCTCAGGCTTCTCTTGCTCATTTTTGTCTTCCTGCAAATACTTACCGACCTTTCTAAGATATGTTATTGCATCATGACAAGTATGTTCAATAGATAACATGCCCTCCTCAAACCTACGAGGTTTCTTTTTCTTGACTGCCCACTTGAAAATTTTCAAAATGTTATCATCACAAAAAGCTTTGTATAGGTTCTCGGCGACATGTTGAGAGCAAAAACGATGCACACACTTGCCAGCACTTTCGTTCCACCCAAGGTGTGGCTGCTTAAACACCCATTTAATTGCTTTGTGGCGATCTGAAATCACACACATGAACTTGCCAACACCAATTACCTCCCTCCGCAACCATCTCATGAACCAACCCCAGTTCGTAGCGTCCTCTTTCTCAACAATGGCAAATGCAAGAGGTATTAACCTATTATTAGCATCATGTCCGCAGGCCATTATCAATCGGCCCTTGTATCTTCCTGATAGAAATGATGCATCCACACTTATTACAGGTTGAAGGTGGGGAACTGCTGCAATGCAAGGTCCAAATGCCCAAGCAACACATCGAAATTCTCTATGCCCTTCTAATGTCATGGGTTTTGATAGAAGAACATACTTTGTACCTGGATTTTTTACTCTAATAGCCTCAAGGAAGGGGATGAGAAGATTGTATGATCCTTCCCAGCTACCAAAAAGTTGTGCTATGGCCTTCTCCCTTCCACGCCACAACTTATTGTATGATGGTCTCACATTTCTGTAACGTTGTTTGACCAATGCCCGCACATTTTTTATACTCAACTCTAGGTCATCCTTGAGTGATTCACGAATAACATCTGCAATTATAGAGGCCGATAACTGAGAATGGTCAGTTCTATTAGCCGGTGCACGACAAGTATGAGAATAAGGACATTTCCTTACTTGCCAACATGAACCAATTTTTGTTGGTATTGCATACAACCTCCACATGCAACTGTCATCAATACACTCTGCTACAAGTTTAGATTGACTGCTTGTGCTATACTTCACTTCCAGGTTCATGTTTATGTGAAATTCACCAATCACAATTTTTAGGTGCTCTTTTGAATCCAAAATTTGCTGCTCTGACAATGGGCTTTGAAAGTGCTTCTTGCATCCAAAAAAACTTTCATTTGATGTCGTCTCTGTTAGTATAGATATGTCACCAAAGGCTCTCACACCATTCTGTCCACATGTACGCATGAATGGAAATGCATTAACATGATGCATAACTCTTGGTCGTGGATCTTCGTCTGAACTCTGGGTAGGTGCGGCATCAGAATCATCCATCGATTATGAACTCACGAGTGAAAATTTGGTTTCTCACAAACCAGCCAATTAAGGACCGTAATTCAGGAATAACAATCAATTGGAGATTAAAGCAATGTAGATTTGATAGAACAGTACAACAACTAACATGAACCAAGCACAAAATCAATTGGAGAATCCTAATGGCGAGCGGTTGATGAGACCATGTCGCTCCTGTGATGATCGGTGTTGCCGGCTGCCAGAGATTGCTTACCGTATGGCGAGGTCCAAGAGCAAAGATTGCGTCCGTATTAGGGTTTTAAACCTCACGTAACTTCTATCTGTCATTAGGAAAGACTCGGTTTAGTCGGATCTGATGGCTAGGCGAAGCACTTGACTGGACGCAGTCCCTAATAGCTTCCAGACCTGGACGCTATCCTCGATAGCATCCAGCTGTGGACGCCATTGTACTTTGCGTCCTTCCTATTTTTAAAATTTCCACCTGCCTGTCACTAGTTTCATAATTCCGTGATTATTAATTACTATTAATAAAAAAATCGGGTGAGGCCTTATCATAAGCAAGAAACATGGACGCCGTTGATGGTGAAATCCAGATGGGAGGGGCCACATATAGGCTGTAGATTGTAGATGCCATTGATGCTGAAATTCAGATGAAAGAGACCACATGCCTGAATACCACGGTGCAATTTGCACTCACCGTGGTGAAGGTGCTTGGAGTGGAGTACCTTATGAAACCAACTGTCGAGGACACGGAAAGGTTGATCGACAATAGGGCGGCAAGAGACAGGTACCGTTTAGATGCCATTGATGCTGAAATCCGTCCAACATATCGGCTGAGAATGGAGGATTGGGTGGTCCGGGCAGTGAGCAGGAAGTATAGGGAGGGTTTTAAGTGTTCGATCGTGCATGCTCAGACAAAGTTACGCACTGAACCAGGTAAATAAAAAACATGCCTCTCCGTTGCATTTGATCCTGCCCGGGAATGCCAAATCATCTTCGTTCTATACTATACAGGCAATTAGTTCCCGAGATACATGGAGTCCATGCTACTCCTACACCGCATTCATAGCACAAACTAAACAACCAGACAGTATTGCGTTGCGTGTGAAGTACAGTACGTATGTACAGAACCGCAGAAACATGCACATCCAAGATCCAAAAGTAGTTTGGTAGATCCGTCTTCTTTTTCTCCGAGGCAGATGCCGTTTAGAAGAGCTCACCATGGTTCACCTAAGATAAAGGTCTTCAGACTTTGTCCGCGGGAGCAGAGTGGTCCGCCGCCGCCAGCATCGCCGACAGCTCGCCGGACGTTGCGGAGGCCGGGTCTTGCCGCTGCCGGCTCGACTTGCGCCACCGCCGGTCCCACGGCAGCGGCCAACACCTGACCGTGTCGCCGTCTCTCTCCCTGCACCACCACCAACGCCAGCAATGTTAGACTATGGATATATCGGTCTGCTTAGCATCGCACTGACTGTAATTAAGAAAGCAAACCATGATGGAAGTGCAGATTTTCTCGACGCAAAAGTAGATTTACGCTGGATTCGCGTATTAGATTTTCTTCCTTAGCACGATCAGATATTCTTCTAATTAAGTACTACTCTCTTAGATCCATAGTAAGGAGCTGTTCGGCAGTCCACCCGCTGCCTGGAATTTAAGGATCTGCGAAGTACCCGTTTGCTCGCTCCGTGGTTTTAAACTGAAACTCCGTCAGCTCCGGGAGGCGTTTAAACTGAAACTCCGTCAGCTCCGGGAGCGGCCTCGTGGAGCGGAGGGACTCCGAACAGGCTCTAAGTGTCACGGTTTTAGTTAAGGGAGCAGTAATTAGAGTACTAATCAGATTGCACTGCGCAACACGACACCTGCAAGCTGCAAACTGCACCCGGCAGGCAGGTCACGCTCATGTGGTTGGCTGGCTGTGTCACCATCAGCTAGCGGTGCAAGTCACTTTCGAATGGTTCTCTCTATCAGCTAGCGCCTAGCTCGTACTAGTATAGTGCACAGATGTATGGGTATGATCGATCGAGCTAACAAGCTAGCTGCAAACGCCTCACAGCTGCAGTTAATAGGATATAATTTTCAGTCGGTGAGCGGACAAATCAGCAGCACCGCATCGACTATGCAACATGACTGACGTGCCCAGCATCTATCTACCCATACATTCGCCTCGGAATTGTCGTGCGTGGCGACGTGCCGTGCCGGCCCTGATTTGGCCGGCAGGTAAGGCCAGCTAACTGCTCTGTTTCAGTCAACACTGAAACAGAGAGATTGATGCGTGCCTGATTGTTCGTTTGTTCCTACGCATGACTAGGTAGGTAGAGTATACACCACCGCGTCGATCCAGTGGTGATGATTATCCACAATTACTAGACAAACGAGAGCACGACGGAGGGATTTTGTGCGGGCCAACTTCTTAATTTAGTTATGAGAATTCGAGGTTGATATGGAGGGGTTTTGTGCCCGTGTTTGGGTGGATTTGTTCTTCCTGTCGTGCTCTCGTAATTTATCTGCAGTTCATCGGACCGGTCGGTCGATCGAGAATCCATGGCGTCGAAATGGAATAATGTTTAGGGAGTATATAGTCTGGTCAATGGATTAGTACGCACCTCTTGTTGCAGTCGTCGGGGGCGACGGCGCTGGCGGCCCGGCCGGAGTTGGAGAAGGAGGGCGTGCGGGCGGGGCGCGGCGCGGTGAAGCTGCGCGTGAAGGAGCGCGGCATGTAGAAGTTGAGCAGGACGCCGTCGCTGCTGCTGCGGAGGCCGCTCCCGCTGCCGCCATCCCCGCGCCGCCTCGCGGAGCCCCGCTTCTCCGTCGCCCTCGCCGGCTGCTGCGGCTCGGCCTGCCCGCTGGACGCGGACCGCTCGGCCAGACCCAAGGGGCTCGGGCTCGGGCTCGCCTCCTTCCTCTCGGCCGGTAGCGGCGCCACGCCCACACAGCCGTTGGCCCCGGCCGCGGCGGTCTTGTCGACGAGGTCGGTGAGGGAGAGCTCGTACTCGGCCTCGGGGAGGTCGCGCAGCATGCCGAGCATCTCCTCCCGCCTCCGCGCGATCTCCCGCGCCCTGGCCGACGCCCCGTCCGCCGCCACGGGGCTCATCCCCGGCACCCACAGCCTCGCCGCGCCCGGGAGCGGGGCCGCCCGCTCCGAGCCCGCCTGCAGCATGGCGCGAGAGGCCGAGCGAAGCAGTAGTGGGTGGGCGCGCGCGTCGTCGATTCGGCTACGAGGTTGATGCGACGGTGCAAGGAGGAGGATGGAGAAGTGGTTGTGGTGGTGGAGAGCGCGACGGCTGATTTGGTACTTGAGGAGGAGGCCGGGGAGGAGGAAAGGCGGTGCGCGTGATGGCGAGCGTATGGAGACGACGACGCGCGTACGCGTATGCACCTCCAGTCCGGGCCACGGGGGCGGGCTCGTGATCTGCCGATGGTGACCGCGGCGGATACGCTGGGATCTAGAAGGCGAAGGTGTCAGCTTTGCTACGTATGAGCTCTGGCCTGCTCGGTGAAAGCGAAAGCGTCCGAGTGCGCTGCGTGCCTTGGGTTGCAAGCATGGAAGTCTTTGCGCTCTAGAAGCAACGACGAGCAAAGTCCAAAAGCTATAGCCCCGGTCGGTCGGTCGGTCATGTGAGAAGAAGCTCCAACGGGGGTGCATCCACAGGAGCATCTGATGCGCGTCCTCTGGCCACACTGCACACAAGGAACAACAAACCGATCCCTCTTTTGGTTTACAGAAATTTTATAGGAATTGTAAAGGACAGAAAATTTATCGGTTTTGCTAAACTTGATGTGCGTGAAATTTTTGTCCGCTTCGGTCGCTTTTTCCTTCTTCCGGAGTGAGCGGGATGGAAGGCCGGACCTCACCGGAGAAGAAGCAACCTCGTCGGAGAAGTGGCCCCACCATCTATCTTAGGGATGTGAGGGTACATATTCGTCGGAAAGCAGCAACCCCCGCTATCTATCTTAGGGGTGCGGGGTGCAGCCGGGATCGCCGGAGTTGTTCACCGGTGCGGGTCTTAGAGGGATGGCTGGGGCGGCGAGGCGGTGCGCGATACGACCCGCTGACGGTGTGATACCGAGGGGTGGCTCACCCATGGGAGCCCCGCCTCAAGATTAACTAGGGGCCCACATGGCCCAGAGCAAAGGAAAAACCCTAGGAGGGCGCCGGGGACCTTCTTGCCCTCCAAGACAAGAGCGACGGCGGAGGACATCGCATCTACCTCTTCATAAACCCTAGACCTCCCCCGCTTATATAAAGGGAGGTCAGGAAACCCTCATGACCATCTGTTCTCAGATAGAAACTCTCGATATTAACCTTATACACCATTGCAATCCCTCACACGAGGTATCCCTTCACCATGAATAATCAAAGCATACTAGTCGAAAAAGGGCCTAATGTGAAGCACATTAGTCCCGGTTTGTGGTTGAACCGGCACTAATGTTACCATTAGTGCCGGTTCCAACGGCTAGGCGGGCGATGACCATTAGTACCGGTTCGTGGCGAACCTCTAGTCCCGGTTCATGCCACGAACCGGGACTAAAGAGGTGGTGGCAGGCTGCGGCCCCACCAAGACCTTTAGTCCCAGTTCGTGACACGGACCGGTAATAGTGATGCATCTTTAGTCCCGGTTTGTATAACCAACCGGGACTAAAGATCATCCTATATAAACCCTTCGTCCAGCCCGAGCTCTCTGTTCTTCCCCTTTCATTCTTTCCTCTCCTATGTTCTTCCACTCTTCCACGTGCTCATCACACATTTTGCCCAAATTTTGTCAAGATTTGAATGCCCCATCCATTCAAGTGATCACAAAGGTTAGCAACTTTATCCTTTCATCTCTCATTGCTAGATTAGCTCTTGCAATGTTCTATATAGTGATTAATTTGTGCGTTTTAGTAATTTGGGAGGAATTATATGTGGTAGTTTATTTGATTTATATGCAATTTGAGCTCAAAATAACTCTTAGTTTGCATATGTAGGTGTGGTTTACTTAGTGCCTTCCCGTCTCCGTCCTAACCACCATAGATCGCCCGCACCATCCCGTCGCCGGCACCACCTTGTGCTGAGCCTCTTGTTCTTATCCTTTTTATATAAAAAAATTCATGTTTTTGTGTGATTTAGATATATAGTTACTTGTATAATTATCCTACCCATACGTTGTTTGTTATACATAGTGCCATGGTTTTGATATCCGTCCCCGTCGGCCCTCGTCCGGTTTATGATTCGGATGTGGTATATTCTCTTTTATAACTATTTGTTGCATTTCGTGTTTATAAAAAATTATGCCCATCAAGTTGACATGGATATTTTTATCTAGGAGGTATGTGAACCGGAAATTCCAACAGACCCTGTTGTCGAGAGGTTAAATTTAGTTGAAAATGAAAATGAGTATTTGAAAGAAAAAATGAAAAGAATTGAGGACGCGAAGATAGAATTGGAGTTGCATCTTGCCGATGTCGTCGATGATCACAAGATCAAGATGGAGAAAATGCGCTTGAATATTAGGAAGATTAGAAAATATGCCATTGATAGTGAGGCTTCGTATCATTATGTTGTTGGATCAATTGTTACATTAGTTGCCATCTTGATCGCATTTGTTGTTGCATTTAAATGTTTTAGCTAGAGAGTTTGTATGTTGTTTTATGAGAATAAATGTGTATGGAACTTTATGTATGAACTTGTATTAATTTGATCTTTTCGTGCTGTGTAATGAAGATGAGCCGGCAATGGATGTACGATGACCGATGCTCTCCCCAGTTCGTTAATGGCATGCATACTTTTCTGCTTGCGGCTGAGGCAAATAAGAGGGCAGATGGTTTTATGTCTTGTCCATGTGCTGGCTGTAAGAATGATCAGAATTACTCTAAGTCAAAAACCATTCACGTCCACTTGTTTGAGTCTGGTTTCATGCCCCACTATAATGTTTGGACCAAGCACGGAGAAAGAGAGGTTATGATGAAAGACAATGAAGAAGAAGAGGACGACGACAGCTATCCTGGCTATAGGTTCCCTGAATACGATGGTACAACAATGGGGGAAGAAGCTGAGCCGACAATGCGGGAAGAAGCTGAGCCGACAATGCGGGAAGAAGCTGAAGAAGAGGCATCAGATGAGCACACTGATGATCTAGGTCGGGCCATTGCCGATGCAAAGAGAAACTGCGCAAGTGAGAAGGAGAGGCTGAAGTTGCAACGCATGTTAGAGGACCACAACGCACCACAGTGCAATTGCTGCAATGGAAGGTAGAGAATGGTGTATCTGACAAGGGATTTGGAAAGTTGTTGATAATGTTAAAGAAGATGCTTCCAAAGGACAACGAATTGCCCGAGAGTACGTACGAAGCAAAGAAGGCTGTTTGCCCTCTAGGATTAGAGGTGCAGAAGATACATGCATGCCCTAATGATTGCATCCTCTACCGCGATGAGTACAAGGATTTGAACGCGTGCCCGGTATGCGGTGCATTGCGCTATAAGACCAATCACGATGACCCTGGTGATGTCGAGGGCAAGTGCCCCAGGAAGAAGATTCCTGCCAAGGTTATGTTGTATGCTCCTATAATACTACGGTTGAAACGTTTGTTCCAAAACGAAGAGCATGCTATGTTGATGAGATGGCACGAGAAGACCGTAAGAAAGACGGGAAGTTGAGAGTACCCGCTGACGGATCGCAGTGGAGAAAAATAGAGAGAAGGTACTGGGAGGTTAATGGGAGTCTTAAAGAAATATGTTCATAACCGTGCTAGGCCAGTAGGAAGCATCTCCAAGGGCCATGAAAATAAGGAGGTCATTGAGTTTTGTGTTGACTTTATTCCTGACCTTAAGCCGATTGGTGTTCCTGAATCACGGCATAAGGGCAGACTGGATGGAAATGGCACGCTAGGACCAGATCAAATAATATGTATGGACGGACATTCTCTCACTGAAGCATACTACACAGTTCTACAAAATTCCGCCTTGGTGGCTCCGTATATGGAGGAACATAAGAATATTCTAAGCTCCAAATACCCGGAGCAGTCTGAAGACTGGATTACACGTGAACAAACGAGGACTTTCGCTGGTTGGTTACGGACACGTGCATGCATGACGACGCTATTCAAGATGACCTATACTTGCTGTCCCAGTTGCCATCTTCGAATATAATGACTTTCAAAGGGTACGAGATAAATGGGAATACATTTTACACGATCTCCCAAGATAAAAAGAGCACCAACCAAAATAGTGGTGTCCGCTTTGATGCAACAACTAATAGGGGAAAGGACACATATTATGGTTACATAGAGGAGATATGGGAACTTGACTATTAAAGTGATTTGAAGGTCCCTTTGTTTCGGTGCAAATGGGTCAATATGACAGGAGACGGCGTAAAGGAAGACCCACAGTACGGAATGACAACAGTGGGTCTCAATGATCTTGCATACGAGTGAGCCCACTCATGCTCCTACAAGTCCGGCACCGCCGCGTGAGCCCATTGCTCCTCCAAGTCCGGCACCGCCGCGTGAGCCCACTCCTTCTCCTCCAAGTCCGGCACCGCGTTAGCCCAGTCCTCCTCCTCCAAGTCGTCAGGCACTGCGTCAGTCGTCTCCGCCGCCTAAGCAACAACGAAAGGGAGTCGTCGCAGCTCCGGCGGCTAGCGGTATAAGTACAGGAGGCAAGAGATTCCAATATGGTCCAAGCCTCAAGCCTCTTCCTCGTCGGACTTACGACCTGACTGATGAGGAAAACAAAGCCGAAGTGCGAGCCCAATTAGATGCCCATTTTGGACCGAAACCGCCACCGCCGCCAAAGGAGATTGTACCTGAGCATATCATTGACCACTTTATTCATATGGCTAGAGCACCAGCTCCCCCGCATGTTGATTCTGACTATGAGCGCCAAATCAAGAAGTCATTTCAAGCACAGAAAAAGGAGTCGAGCTCGAGCTCAAGCAAAGGAGCTGCCAAAAAAGCGGAAAACGGTTCCCTAGCTGGGAGAACAGGCGGTGCAATCAATCCCCCGCTCATTGTACCATCAACACATATGAGTAGCGACACCGATCTGCCGATAATAACCGACGCTCATAGAAGGATGGCTGAAGAGGCCGGTGTCACTGTGGAACAACTCCTAGAACTCGAGCCCAGACCAGTGATCATAGAGGAGGAAGTAAAATAGAAATATGCCCGCGGCCAACCTTTTGTCAAGCCTGAGGAGGTCAAGAAGCTCTCAACCAGAATGTATCAATTGCATCAATGGTACATGAATGAAAGACTACCGATCGAGAGTCCCTCATGGTGAAAACCAAGGAAGAGTATTACTATAATGAAATGACTCTGTATGTCGAGTTTACAGAACTGTTTCAGTTATTCAATCAAGACGCACTCGACAAATCCCTCGTTAATTGCTTTTGTCTGTAAGTGATTTCTTTCTATAATTTAATAATTAAGTCTCTAGCTAGCTCTAGTGCTCGTTGATATTTACCTGTAATTATTCTCACTATATTCTTTTATGTGGTATTATGCAGAATGAAGATATATGAAATGAAAAAAGCTGGACGCTATGGCATTGGGTTCATTGACCCAAATACCATTAATGAAGAGACGTGGTCACATGAATTCTATCGAAAAGAAACAGAGAAAAGCTTGTGTCACGCCCAATATGCGATACTATCCTAAAGAGACTCGAAGGTCCCACCAA